TCCTGTCACCATGACAGACTGTAGCCTCAAACCAGGAGCCAGAGAAGAAAGATCCTTCTCCCCTAAGCTGCTCTGTGGAGTATTCTATTACAGCAGCAGAAAAATAAACTTAAAATGAGACTCCCTGATTTAGAAAAACAAAAACTAAATTACTGACCATTGGACTAAAGGGAAACGGTAGAGAAATGTGTGATTGCTATAAACGAACTTTCCCCAAGTCTACCATATGTGAGACGAATGTCCAGTCCGAATGGGAACAGAGCTGAGTTTTAACCTTGGCTATGCCTCTGTAGTGACCTTAAATAACTCACTCAGATTCTCCAGTCTAAGGTTTTGTGAAAGAAGATAGCATGAAAATAGAGTAACTTCTGGCAGACCCTAGAGAACTGGAGCGAAAAGGCCATAGAGTAGGGGCTTTCATACACACTCCCCTGTGAAGGATGCACTCAGTTAACCCTGACAACCCACCACAACCGTACACACACAATACATTTAAAGGAACATCTGCCTAGTAACGACCAAGTCAATGGGGGCCAGTGGTTCCCTTGGATCAGGATCCAAGGATAATTATTTCAAAACAACAAACACCATTTACATAACTTCACCTTTTAAAAACTCTTCTCATTCTTCCTTGGGCTCCCTGCAGAGCCCAGGTGTAAGGCTCCCATAGCTAAATGAAACCCTGCTGGTCCTTAACCACACCCCGTTGTGATTCACTTGCAACACCTCTTCCAGCAACACGTGTGGGATCTTATAAGACAGATTTATTGCAGCCCAGACTATAAAATGATAATCCTTTGTCTCCTCTTTCATGAAGTTAAGCTGAACAGTTCGTAAGATAGAAAATTACAGATGTGGCATTTAACTGCTGCTTGGCAGGGTTTCCATGTGATGAACAGACAAGCAACATATTTCTGGGGGACATCCAGTCTGATAGAAAGGTACCCACTGTATCCAATGGCGTTTTCTTTCCGAGAGGAACTAGGTCGAGTACCTCCTCTCTTCCTGGTGCACTTGCTCTGTGCCTACCTGATTAGACACGCTAACTCAGAAAGACACAAAAGGATCCAAAGGAAGGCTGGCAGAGGCTGAGCAAAGGGCTGCTGGTGTGTGAGCCAGGTTCCCATTTCTGGGACAAACCACCAGAGGCTGTCAACTTAAAATGAGAAAAGGTACATTCCAGCTCCTGGTTTCATAGCTACTGGGCCCTGACACCTTGGGCCTTTGTGTCATTGGTAGGAAGCTTGTTCACCTCCTATGGCTGGGAAGCACAGACACCAGCAAGCTGAGCTACACACCTATTTCACGGGCATCCCTGTGCAACCTAACTTCCATTTGCTAGGCCTCACAATTTATACATATACACATATACATACATACATACATACATACATACATACATACATACATATATACATACATACATCATACATATCACTTTTGGGGCTTGCACATGTATGAGTGTAGGTGTGTATATTATGGTATGTCACATTAGATAACAACCCACAAAAGTTAGCTTTCTCATTCCACATGTAGATTCCAGGGATTGAACCCAGGTCAACAGGCTTGAAAGCAAGTGCCATGAGCCACTGAGCCACCTTGCCAAACCCTACCCTCTCAATTTTGTTAGCACATATTCACTGTACAAAATAACAGGAATCATTATGGCATTTTCACGGATAACACATATTTTGGGCATATTCACCCTCCAATCATCCCGTTATTCCTTTCCTTCCCATTTGTCTCCTTCCTCATCCCAAACGGTCCCTCTTCTACTTCAGTCTAAGAATAATATTCTTTTAAAGGCTAACTCTGCGTATGAGAAGATGCATTGTCTGGGACTGACTTGATTCATTTAACGTAGTCTACGGTCCTTTGCATTCTCTGTAAATGACACAGTTTCATTTTTATTATTGGGGAATAGAACTCCATTGTACATACACAGCACATTTTTTTTTAAAACAACCATTAGCTAATTGCTGGACCTCAGGCTCTTGTGGTTACCTTGGCCTTTGTGAACAGTGGCACAGTGAACAAGGGTGGGGCCGGGGAGATAGGGTGGGGGGATACAGTACACGTGAAAGTATGAAGGTTGGAGTATGGATCCCCAGAACCCATGTAAAAGCAGGGCATGCGTGGCAGCTGCTGGTAAGCCCAGCACTCAGGAGGCAGAAACCAGGGCTCCCTCCCTAAGGCAAGCTGGCTGGAGAGGTGAGCCAGAATTGGTGAGCTCCTGCACTCCAGGTTCGGTGAGAGATCCTGAATCAGTAAGTAAAAGATTGATGGAAAAAGTCAACCTTGAGTCTCTACACACATGGGCACACATGTATGGGTGCTTATACATGTATATTCATGCATGAGCACACACACATTGTACATACAGAACGACAATAGCCGCAGCAGCAGCTGCGAAAGAGGAAGTTCAGATATCCTGGCCCAGGGTCCTTTGAGTATATACCCTGGAGTGGCAAGCTGGGCCATTGGAAGTTCTGAGTTTAGTTTTGGGGGACCTTCATACTGATTTCCATAGTGGCTGCATTAGCATCACATAAGGGCTCCTGTCTGTCTACCTTTACTGGAGTTCCTTGTCTTTTTTTTAACTTACTCACTTTACATCCTGCTTACTGCTGCCCTCCCGGTGGTCACTGCCTCTTACAATCCTTCCCTCTCCCTCCTCCTCTAGGCAGGTGGGGGCCCCACTGGGTACCTCCCTCCCTACACACACACACACACATACACACACACACACACACACACACACACACACACTTCAAGTCTCTGCAAGGCTAGGTGCTTCCTCTCTCACTGAGGCCAGACAGGGAGCCCAGCTAGAAAAACATATCGTATAGACAGGCAACAGCTTTTGGGATAGCCCCCTGCTCTAGTTGTTCAGGACATATATGAAGACCAAGGTGCACATCTGCTACATATATGTGGGGAGGCCTAGGTTCAGCCTGTGTATGTTCTTTGGTTGATGGGTCAGACTCTGAGAGCCCCGAGGGTCCAGGTTAGTTGATTCTATTGCTCTTCCTGCGGAGTTCCTCTCCCCTTTGGGACTCACAATCCTTCCTCCTATTCTTCTGTAAGACTCCCCAAGCTCCATCCACTGTTGGGCTGTGGGTGTCTGTATCTGAGTCGGCTGCTGGGTGGAGCCTCTTGGGGGATTCTGCAATGGAACCTGAAGAGGCCACCTCCTGTATCCAGACAGGAACTCCAGTGGAGTGATAAAGACACAAACCCACCCACAAAACTTTCAACCCCAAATTTATCCTGTCTACAAGTAATGCAGGCATGGGGAAGGGAGCAGAGGCTGAGGGAACGGCCAACCAATAGCTTGAGACCCATCCCATGGGCAAGCACCAAGCACTAACCATACTCAGTTATACTTGGAGACAAGTATAAGTGAGTTTAACTCAAGCTATGCTTGCAGGAAAGTTTTGTGTTCTTATTGACGACCATTTTGACTGGGGTGAGATGCCATCTCAGTGAAGTTTGCGTTTGGGTTTCCAACTCCCCACCCTCTGCAGTTTCTACCTCCTTTCAATAGGGCCACAGCCTGGGGACCAGGGGACCAAGTACTCAGCACACAGGTCTCAGTGGGAAATTCAAGATGCGAATAACAGGAACAGGTGACCTGAGTACAGGGACTCAACAGGTTCAGTAGAGCTTCTGCCTTGCGGGAAAAATATTTTATGACTCAAATAAAAAGTCTCCATTGTGTAACTAGGGCTGAGTTAGCAGTTACTTAAGAAAATAAGTACATGTCGGCAAGATGGACGGGTGTCTGCCGTACAAGCTTGAGGGCCCGAGCTCAAACCTCTAGTGCCAGACATGGCCACACCTTCAGGTCATCCACAAACTGAACTGAACTGAGTTCTCGGCAGAGCAGCAGCCACTCGGCACTTACACTCTTAGACAAATGTACCTCAAGGTTACTAGGGGAAAAGTGAGAGCTTCTGGGAAAATTGGAACTACAAGTCCAAAGGCCCAAACCTCTCCAGTCACACACAAGACCATCAGGGCAATGAAAGAAAGTGTTCCATATAAGCAGCAGGCCAGTTTCAAACATGCTAAATGGTTAAACACATGAATACTGAAGATTGTAACAAGTTACTTCCACAAAAGCTCACTGCTGCCTATGGCGAGGCTACCGGGAACCTTGTCGCTCTTAAGACACTGAAAGCATTCAGGCCCAGATGGTGTATGTGTGGCAACAGGCATGCAGTAAGGGTGGTGATGGGTGAGCTGGGTGTCTTCTGCCTTCCTGTGTGTCTCACACGAGCAATGTGCTGTTTTCCGTACCGGCCTAATGTTCCATGTGGCCTCTCACACCAACAACAGCAAGTGCACATTATGACACCCTAACACATCTATCACACTAGTATGTCATTTCAGAACAGCTGTTACAGCAGCGAACACCATGCTTGCTGGACACCGAACACTAGCGCAGTACCAGAAACAGCCCGCTCTCCTCAATGGTACCCAATGATGTTTCAAGAAAATGCTATGACTCCAAACTAACATTGGTTATTTATAAAAATAACCAAACACTTCACCCGGTACTCACTGAGGTTTTTTTTTGTTTATGTCTGTGTCTGTGTAGACCTGAGGTGTGATATCAAGTGTCTTCCTCTACAGCTCTCTATTGTATCTATTGAGTCAGGGTCTCTTACTGAACTCAGAGCTTGCCAATATGGCTAGTCTAGCTTGTCCGGACGCTCCCTCTCTCTCACCTGTGGAGTACTGGAATTAGTGGTGAGCTCCTTTGCCCACCCGGCATTTATGTGGGCGCTGGAGATCTTAACTTGTAGCCTAAGTGCCTTCCCCTGTGAGCTATCCCCAGCCCAGTGATTGTTGTGTAAGACGTCCATTTGTCATTTATGTCTTATCCATCACTGTAGACTGAAGGTCAGGCCCTAGAGGGGTAAAAGCTGCCAAGTCCCTTTACCTTTCTACAGAATGGCCTATCACAGTTCATCTCCAGCACAGAGAAGCCAAACTAAGAGAGTCATCAAAGTGCTTTATTCATAAAGCCCGGCTCAACGACTGGAGCCCGCACTGTTACCACTGGTCTCGCTCTTGTCCAAACAGCTTATTTGGATGACAGAGATGGTTACAGACAAAAACCAAAGCATTTTTGTAAACTTCTAAAAGCATACAGATTGGCCACAGAGGAAAAGGTTACTCAGATCACGTATGTGTACCTTCATTTTTTTTTTTTTTTTACTTTAGGGTCTTGGGTTTGTAAGTCTAGGGATCAAAGGTTAACAGTAGAGTTTCAGAACACTCAAAACAGATCAGACACTACAATTAACAGTGCCCGGAAACCGAATCATACAGCATTGATTATTTTAAATGCATCAAATACAGATTTGTACAACTATGTTACAGTGGAGTTAACATCGTAAGCTAATGAATCTGTGGCAGGTCAGTACACAGGAGTCAGATGGTGCTGATGCTGGCTTCCAGATGCTGTGAAGGCAGCCCACACATGGAGGGCACAGCTGTACCTGGAGAGGCCAAAAGGAAAGTGACTGGGAAGGCAGCCTGGCAGGGGACTTGTTGACTTGTAATTATTGAAGGGTGAGTTCTTTTTTCCTTTCTAACACAGCCTACAGAAACCATCTCACATTTGAGACAGGGGCTTTTAAAAGGCACAGCTGCAGCACAGCGTGTAAGTTGGTAATGTACTCTAAGCAAATCTAGGACTCTGTAACTTGAGGCCTTTTAGGAACGCAGGGATGTTGGTAGATACATGATATTTGCTGGAAGTTTTTTTTTTTAAGTCTCAGTTACACACGATCAGCACAGTTTAGGGCAATGAACTTACATAACCAGATTTTGGGTTTAATCTTTTTATAGAAAAAAAAAACATTAGGTTGATAAATACACATCTTGAGGAACAAAATCCTTTTGCTTTTATGTGATAGACTGTCTACTACTAAGTACTTTGAACAAAACACTCACTCAGAAACACAACTGCAAGACAAATCTCAAAACACAACAAACATTATGTTCCCTACGCTGCAAAATGGCTTTACATGTAAACTTCAAAAATCACATGCTGTATATTAAATTTTTATATTCAAAAATATCCCTGTTTCTCTAACCATGTAAACAGTAAAACTGAGGGTTTCAGTTAAAGGGATAATTCATAACAAAATTTCATACCTAAACAAGGGTTAAGCATAAACTTCATATAACTGGGATTTGCCTTCGGCCACAGGAGGGGTTTGACTCCTTGCTTATCTTCCTGCAGCAGGAGGTGTAGCTGCAATTGCCCCAAACTATGCACCTTTCAGGGAAGTTCTACATCTGTTTTGCAGAGTGAATTTCTGCAGCTCAACATGAGGGTGTTAACCACGACAGGCTCCAGGTGAGAAGAGAGAAGCAAGCGGCTTTCCTGGAGGTGAAATTGTAGACAGGTTCTTGGCATCAGACTCTTGGAAGATGAAGGACTCAGCCTGGGACAGGTGGGGACGGTGACACTGTTAGGAGGGAACCCTGAACCAGTGCACGGGGAGATGCTAGCATTCCTTTACCTAGGGCTGTGGGCTTAGGTAACCACTAAGGAGTAGTCTTTCTGTGGGCCAAACATTTGATATAAATTTTTAATCTTTCTTTTAATCATCATCATCATCATCATCATCATCACCATCATCACCATCATCACCATCACCATCACCATCATCACCATCACTATCATCATCACCACCACCACCGTGATGAACAATCTCACATCTTTCAAGTCAGAAAACAAACGGATCTACAGTTTCTCTTGTGGTGCTGCAGTGAGGTGCATTTCTGTTCCCCTCCCCCACAGCCTTGTCTCTTCATCTGTTCATGCGGCCACAGCTAGAATCAGACAGGTCTGGTTGTTACAAGCTCTGATTCAAGCTGATCTGTTTTAATTAATTAATAATTAATTAATTACTTTAAAATGTGCGCGCGTGCACACGCATGTGCGCACGCGTACAGAGTCAGAAATAGCGATGCTGGGAAATATCAGGTAGCTGTTAAAGCGAGTAGCCCCCAACTTCAGTCATCTCGGCTTGAAGATGTAAACAAGGTTTGCTTCCTGCAAGGTGAGTGCTTCCTGGAGTTCAGGTTTCCTTTTCTTCCTACACCGAAAGCCACCACCAGCCTTCCCGAGGTCACGCCCATCTGGGGCGATGCAGGAGGTTACGTCAAGATGTGCCCAATAAAGTCCAAAAAGCGCTTTGAATACTGCTCTGGGTTCACGGTCGAGATCTCCGCTCCAGCCTAGGGGATTGTGAAGGAAAAGGATATTCACGGAATGCTCATGATCACCCCAAATTACCGGTCAGTGTCTACAGCGATCTCGGAGAGCAGCTGAACATGGAGCTAGTCATTTTTCTTGGGGAGCCAGTAGTGGGGGACTGAATCCAAGGCCTTGAACATGCTTGGCAAGCACCACGCCACTAAAGCCACACCCCAACCCTACAGCTAAGAACACAGCTAAGCGGCCTCTCTTCTTAAACCACTACTCACAAGTATCTCCGCAATTTGGCCAAATAGGTCTAAACTTCTAGGGATCTGTGAGTGAAAATGGGGCCCAGTTTTGCGGCGCACCACAGACCACTAACACAGTCTTCTGGCGCAACAGTTAGGAGCACCGGCTGCTCTTCCAGGGCTCAGCTTTTAGTCCCAGCACCCATACGGCAGCTTACAACTGTCTATGACTGTAGTTATAGTTACGTAGTTATAACACTCTCTTCTGGTGTCCATGGGTACCATGCATACATGTGGTATACACAGATGTACAGGCAAGCAAAACACCCACACATACTAACCAGAAAGAAAGAAATCTTAAAACAACACATACACACACCTGGTCTCAACTCGTCACATTTGAGACATTATCTTTCTACTCAAAACCCTCCAATGCACCCTTACTTTTCTTGGAATAAAACAGTGTCTCCCTGTGTAGCCCTTAAACCCTCAATCCTCCTGCCTCAGCCATCAAAGTGCTAGGATTAGAGGTATGTATTCCTATGTCAATCTTCTGGAAGTCAGCCTCATGGAGAAAAATCACACGGGGAAGGGGGGAGGAGTAAGCAGGGGAATATTTTCACGTTCTGCTACATGCTCACACACATGGCTTTATGCAGCCCTATGAAGAAAAAAATTTTCTGTGTAAAAGCACACTGGAGTACTTTTCTAGAAAGGGTGGAGGGGTACCACAATGGAATCTCCCTCACAGGCTTTTCATGGGGATTCGACGATATCCTTGGATCAGTGAAGATTTGGAGCAAGCAAGCAAGGTGAGGAGGGTGTATGAACAGCTCATCTTATACTCAAAATCTCTATAATAGGAAAAAAATATTGTGAGAAAAGAAATACAACCTTGCACATTTTGGAGCACCTGGCTTCAGGTTGGGACATTTCATATAAAACCAGAACTATCATCAGTACGTTCATCTTTGGGGTGTTTTTCAAACATGGAAGAACCTACAGATATACTCTGGTACTGCGGGGTGGTGTTAACACCTCACTCTCAGGAACAATCACCAGAGAACTGGGGATAGTGAGCCAGAAAGATGAAGAAGCATCCACACACTACAGACAGTGCCAGGGAGCTGTGGGTTGAGACCCACCCAGGGTGCAGGGGTGAGGCATGGGTTATGGGAGCGAGGCCAGGGTGCAGGGGCAAGGCCCAGGGTGCAGGGGTGAGGCATGGGTTATGGGAGCGAGGCCGGGGTGCAGGGGCAAGGCCCAGGGTGCAGGGGTGAGGCATGGGTTATGGGAGCGAGGCCAGGGTGCAGGGGCAAGGCCCAGGGTGCAGGGGGTGAGGCACAGGGTGCCAGGGGTGAGGTGCAGGGGTGTGGGAGCAAGGTGCATGGTGCAGGAGCCTGTACTTACGCCATGTTTAACAGTTTTCGCAGCGTGGGCAGCTTTCTTTTTTGCATCGTAATGAGTAAGAATGTCAATAATCGCCATGAAGTACACCTCTTTTCTAGGTGCATCTGTAAAGTGAGGAAAGCAGAGACTGTGGAACATGTGATAACAGAAAAAAAAAACCAAGCTACGAGGAGGGAGATAGGAGGGAAGGATGCATAAACCGCACTCCGGTCTGTTCCCTGTACCGAAACAGAAGCATCAAGAAGCCAGGGCAGTGCAGGGAGGCTGTGACCTGAGGGCTTTAGTTTTGTTTCCTAATCTGCATTTCATTCATGATAGTAAATTGTTTTTATGTAAAGAAAAATGCTAGTTTTAGAATTTTCTGTAAAATAAGTAGAATTAATTCTGCTTATTAACCAATCCCTTTCTACCGTCAGACACTGCGTTTTCTCATTGGACAGAATATCAGAACTGAATAAAGGATTTTAGGCCTCCCTTATCTACTTTCTGCAGAGTTTCAAAAGACACACCGTTTCAATTATGAATTGTAAGAAATGTACATTCAGCTACAACTAGTTTTCTTGTGTTTAAGGAATGATTCTGGTGGGCAAAATTAAAAATATAGAAAAATACAATCCAAACCCATTGACTGATGATATGCAGGAGGGGGGACAGAAATTGCCTGCTGTATTATTTAAGTAAGAAGGGAGGTTTTGGATTTTTTTTTTAACATATTAGTAAATATTTTTGCCATGGACATGTAGCTAAAGTAGAAACCAACCAAATACCAGGATCCTGAGGACTGACGTACGTGAGACCCTGTGGAGCAGGGTCACAGATCTCATCATGGGGATAGCGAAGAGGCAGTGACTCTCACTGTGTACACGGGGGCCTGGCCTCTGCACCCCTGAAAAGGCAGCCTATTCGATGATCTGTCAGCTCCGCAAGAAGGCTACCTGAGGGTACAGTGGACTGCACACACTTGCCTCACCCAGAACAGATCTGTAACACACACTGGATTTATTTAAAAGAGCCAAGCTGCTTTGCCCAGCCTCTGTACTGGGGCTTGAACCCCAGGCCCCACTCATGTCAGACGAGTGTTCTACCAGTGAGCTACAGACATAGAGCAACTTTCATTTTGAGACAGGCTCTTGTTAAATTGCTCGGGCAGGCTTTGTACCACTGAGCTTGGCATGAAAAAAAGATGCTGAATGTTACATGTTTCGGGTATTTAACGTTTTGACACTGAGGTCTAACACTGTGATCTGCAAATGTGTTGGAATGCTTCATTCAATGCTATCTTGTGGTGCACACCTGTCAGAATACACTGGACATATTGGTCATAATACATTCTCTACAAATGTGTATGTGTAACATATTAAACACACTTTCTAGTTTTTTTGCACCCTCTAACATCTGGAATTAGTTTCCTTTAAACACACATCACTGTCTGATATCAATGAACTTGACTCAGCAGGGGCCCCACACAGCAGCACCCTTGGAACAAGGGCCAGAATTACTGATAGATCACCGTGCAAAAATCAATCCACTCTATATGCAGAAAGAGTCAATAACACTAAGCTTACTTTCATGGCATTTAATTGCATAAACATCAATGTTCGGGTCAAACTCTCCAGGAGCCAAGGGTGGGGAGCTGTTGAGTGTATTTCCGGGACTGTCCGGTGGCGTCCCGATCGGGTGGGTGCCGTCACTCTCTCCCTCCTCTTCCCCGTCGTTCTCCTCACACTCCACCTCCTCCTGCTCTGCTCGCTCCACGTCGTGAATCCCCACCAGGAGACTGTAGTCCATGAGCTTCAACTGTGCAAGGAACTGGAGCAGGAGGAGACAGTCGGTTACACCTGAACAGCGGCTAAGAATCAAAGAATCTAGGATTGGACGGACACACACTGGGGAAGGCTCCAAGGGCTAACAGGGACCCTTGAACCTCCTTTGCATGGTTCCCAATCTTAGACAGTTTCCTCGTTTCTGGCTGGTTCAGTGCTAGGAATATTCCAACCCACCCAACAAATGCGATGGCCTCTGAGACTGGCATTATTATGCGGCCGCTGAGGTACTCCTAAGAGGATAAGTTGCTGTCAGAGAAGAGCCCTGGGAATGCGTGCATGCCTGCCTATGTGTGGTTTTATCCCAACAATGAAAACTGGTTAATGGGGAAAACCAGGGAGTCACCAGGTAGCCTCCAGCAAAGCTTGAGGAAGCCGCCTGGAAAGCACTCGGAAGTCCAGCATACTCCTAGGACGTAATTATCACTCTGTTGGCCACCAGCAAGCAAAAGCCCTTATATCCCTGTCACCGAGTGAGTGGTGTCAGTGCTCTGGTAAGTAACACACTTCCTCTGTACCCACTTCTGGCTGCTGCGCATGCTACGGTATTCCGTTTCCCACGAAGTACCGCCCCCTTTCCCTTTCCTGTCATGGCTACAGTGTCCAGCAAGGTAAGACCCGTCTATGGGTCTGTCCCCTCCCATCTGTCAAGTTCTTTGACTTTGCAGGTTGCTTCTCCCTTTTCTTAATTAATTGGATCTACACGGATACAGGGCGTGCAATGCTCTTATCGATACACTGAGGTGTGGATGGCTTAACTGTGAGCGGATTGAGCAGCCCATTGTCTGGCTGGCTCTGCAGAATCCCATCTGGACAAGGGAAGTGGCCACAACTCCATGAGAACTTGCCACCATCCTGGTGCTGTGATGGAGAGCATCTGGTAGCTTAGAGGAAGGGGGCTTCCACACACAACAGGCATGTCTGTGGCATGGTAGGATGGGTGTGAACCTAGAGGAAAAGATGTGGGAGGGGCTCCTGACTCATCTCCTGCTAACTTTACTGAAAGTCACCTTGGTGTCTGAGTGGAAAGGGCTGGGCTCATTCCAAACATTCAAGTAAGACCAAAACTCAGTGGGGAAAGCAGAGTCCCACAGTGTGGGCCCACAAGGAGAAAGAGAAGACAGGGGGACCAGGGCTCGGTTGTGGGGCTGGTGCTAGTGAATGTAGGAAAGTCAAGCCGTATCTACCCCTCCCCCTTGGTCTCTTTAAACTTATTTACTTGTTTATTTGTGGTGGGGTCTCACTAGTAGCCTTGGTTGGGCTAGAGCGCAGGAATGCAGACCACGCTGGTCTCAAACTCATAGCTGTCCACCTGCCTCTGCCTCTTGAGTGTAGGGGTTAAAAGCATGCACAACCACGCCTGGCGTATTTCCATATGTGTAGACTCAGAACTCCTCAGGCCCTCTGCTCGCCTCTGTCTTACACGGCCAGGCCTCTCATGTGTAGACTCAGAACTCCTCACTCAGACCCTCTGCTCGCCTCTGTCTTACACGGCCAGGCCTCTCATGTGTAGACTCAGAACTCCTCACTCAGACCCTCTGCTCGCCTCTGTCTTTCACGGCCAGGCCTCTCATGTGTAGACTCAGAACTCCTCACTCAGACCCTCTGCTTGACTCTGTCTTACACGGCCAGGCCTCGGGCTCATTTCTTCTTTCCTCTCACAAAATCCAATCTATTCGATTCCTTTAGAAAAAGTTCCTCATTATTCCAAATTCCTGTTGTTTAATTGTCTTTCTCTTTAGTGCCGGTTTCCTTGTACATGTCAAAGCACACGGTCCATCACAAAGCCACACCCTGAGCCTGTGTCACCTCCTTCCAGGACCTTCCCCATGATTTTTAAGGGTACTGGAACCAACCCTTCTATGGTTGGTGGCCATGTGGTCAAGGAGCAGGTTATAAACGCTTGTCAGCAGGCTGAAGTGAGCCTCCTTACCTCCTCCAACCCCACCTCCCAACTCTAGGAGATGTGAATTAACACTCCAATCTGACTGCTCAACATTTGACTGCACTATTAAAAACACAGTCCTGGTAAGATTCTCAACAAACAAACAAACAAACAAACAAACAAACAAATAAATTAAATATAATATAATATTAAAATGGAAACTGTAGTCATCCTCCTTGAGAGTCTCTGAGGAACACAAAACCCTGGCTGTGCACTCAGATTTTCAGTTTACATTTCATGTCTGCATGTTTGGGAGTGTGGACTCTGAGCAGCTAACTCATGGTCTGATTCAGTCGCTGTCTGTTAGCATCCCTAGACTCAACTTTCCCATCATGCAAAGAGGGATAGTAACAGTACCGGAACAGAAGTTGTTTTAAGACTGGAAAAAAAGACAGTAACTTTTTGGGAAGGACAACATGCTCCATAGATGCTGGCCACCCAGCCTCCTGCATCCCGAAGCCTTTATGCATGGTCATGGTTGTGGGTATGTAACACGCAAAGCTGAGAGGCTCAGTGGGGATGCTCTGGGGACCACACAGATTAGAACTGTGTGGTGTATGGGTGCCCCGTGGCTTTCCTTACTGTTAGAATCCAAGTGGAGGTGGAGAAGAAGCAAGAAGAAAATGGAACGGAGTTGCATTCTAAAATTCTTTTTTTCTTTTTTGCAGAAAAGGGTTTACATAAATGTACTGAATGTATAAATGAAAGCTGTCTGGACTACAGCAGTCTGGCACATAGACAAAAATTTCTATTGCAGGGAGGAAAAACCAATTAGAATAGATTTTTCAAATGACAATTATTTCTCGTTTCAAAGAAAAACACAGACATTGACTGACTTATAATAGACTCAGATCTTTTCTTCATCTTCATTTTTTCCCCGTTTTGAGACAGGTTTTACTGTGTAGACTTAGCTGACCTACAGCTCCTCACGTACACCAGACTGGCCTTGAACGACACCCCCTGCCTCTGTGTTCCGGCTGCTACAGTTAAAAGAATGCACCACCGTCTATCTTAAACTCAGAGAAGAGTTTATGGAAAGAAAATAAAAAATGAAAATAACACATATATAATACAGACGCGCATGCACACATGAGCACACAAGCACACATGCATGTAGCCATGCACACACTTGAAATTTTATCAGGCAGGCTAGTCATCAAAATCAGAAAGCATGGGACTCACGAAAAAAATAAAACTAGATTAAATGCTAGTCTCATTATCAAGAGCAGATGTCAAGTTGCTTCACCGTAATTACCTGCTTAAAAAATTAATGATGCTTCTGCACGGGTTTCAAAGGTAAAGACATTGTTATCAGCCACTGAGAAACACTCTACATGAATGCACACTTTATGTTCTGCCTCCACTTCCACACAGCAGGTGTGTGAGAGAACCATATACGGGATTAACTATTTAATTCCTCAATCAATTACTACAGACAACCTGAGCCCTGCGCATCCTCACAGAACCCAACGCTACCTCTGAGCTGCTCGGGTTACAGTTTTCCTGGAAGCTTGCTATCTCAGTGATGGGTGGCCAACAGAAAACAAGATTTTTTGAGGTGGTGGGGGCAGGTCATAGATCACCCTAAGGGCTATTTACTATAATTGCTGAAACAATATTATTCTCAAGTATTCTCAAGATCAAAAATTTCTTGATTAGTAAGTGAAAATCCAAAACAAAGTGCTTCCTCTACATTTCAATTTTGAATTACCAGGTAGATCAAGTTGATTCTCAAGTAAAAAGGAAATACTTAATTACCATGCGTTTTTATAATAAGCACCGACAGCCAAGCAAAATGAACTGCTTATTAATAAAAGATGAGAGAAAAACAAACACTTTCCTTAGACAAACAAAAAAAAAAAAACAAAACCAAACTACCCACTTGTATCCTTTGTAAATATCTACACACACACACACACACACACACACACAGAGCATGGAGGCTAAAATGATAGAAAAAATATTAGTTAAAGACTTAAAGATAGGGCTGGTGAGATGGCTCAGCAGTTAAGAGTACTGACTGCTCTTCCAGGGGACCTGGGTTCAATTCCCGGCACCCACTTGGCAGTTCACACCTGTGTGTAACTCCAGTTCTAGAGGATCTGACACCCTCACACAGACATACATGAAATAAAAAAATTGAAAAGCCCTAAAGATAATTAAGGATAAACCTGGTCGGCCTGTCATGTAATGAAAGGAGCCATTAGCAGGTTAAGCTGCAGACGCAGCCACTGCCTGCCTTCATGAGGGCTCAACCATGGAGTAACCCCGGGCTCCAGTCTTTCTAATTGTTCTGGTTTAATGACATGACAAAGAAAATCTTTCCACAAAGCCTTTCTCCAAGAGGCAGATCTTAGTACAGAGGGTACAGTATTTCAAGGGGGGAAAAAAAGGCACATAAAAGTAACAGCCAAGAGAAACCTGAGTAATTACCTAAATTAAAATTCTCATTGTAGTGTCTTGTAACTAGACAAATTACAAAACAATAACCTGCCCCTGAAATTATTTCTAGAAGACTGAAGTAAGAAAACCCAACAGGAAAGCTAAACAAAATGATACGAAGAGGTTTTTATTTTTTCTTTCTTCTTCTTGAATAAAAAAAAAAAAAAAAGGCCAGGCAGTGGTGGCGCACGCCTTTAATCCCAGCACTCGGGAGGGAGAGGCAGGCGGATTTCTGAGTTCGAGGCCAGCCTGGTCTACAGAGTGAGTTCCAGGACAGCCAGGGTTACACAGAGACATGGTTTCTGGACATGCTCCAGAAAACAGCAGGGCTTGCTGGTTCCTGTCATCCTGACTGGGCACACTGCACCTTAAAACCGGATCCTGTAGCATGAGGTCTACCTGTTTATATCTGGGCCGTGGGTAATGGAGGATATATACATTCTAATCTTCATTATAGATTTGAAATGATGGCTTGAAAGCCCCTAAAATTAGCTGATGGAGCTGACGGTGATATGGCGAGCTCACGGTGGGACATGGCAGATCTTCCTGGTTGGTTTTTCTTACCTCGACATCCTTTTTCAGTTTTTCCAGGAATATCTTTTTGCTGTTGTCATCAATATAGATCTTTTGGCCCTCATTGATGAAGTCATTATCCTTTAAAGTTGGCAGCTCTTTGGCCTAGAACAAAGGAGAAGGAGGAGCTTGAATAAAGTCTAAAAAACCATGTGCTCTTTCCAACCGGGACACTGATGGAGGTTCTGCCCACCTAGGCTGGGGCAGTAAGTGTAAGGTGGCTTAATACCAGCAGGGTGAGCCAGTGAGCAGGGACCACTGGAAGCATTCCCACTAGGAACCGGGGCGAGGCATGCTCCCCATCTGGGACACTTCAGTTTTCTGGGGATTGAAACTGATAGGAGTTCTTTGGTTCATTTTCTTACAAGAATTTTCCAAGTATTCAACATGTATTCTTGGAATACTTTATGAGGAGCCCTCTATTGTGTAATCCTACACTATCTACCCTCTGGCCCTCTTTGGTGGCCTAAACTGAACTTTGGATACACATAGCATCTTGTCTCACAAAGTCCCGTCCATCAGCTGTGTGCTGAGTCAGGGAGAGCATCCAACCAGCGGTTTGGCAGTTGCTCCTCGAAGCCTTGCTGCTGTTGGGTAACTCCAAACAAATAATAACACACAGTGGATTATTAAGATGAGAAGTTTCACGCTTCACAAGTAACTACAAGAATGAACAGCCGAGTAACTGTCCTTCGGTTCGCCAATGCACGAGGGCTGGAGAAACTCAAAGTGTGGGTTACAGCAGAGGAAAGGGTGTTAGCCTGTGCTATGGCACACAGAATACAGGCATTGGGTTTTAAGATTGTGTGGACTGTACTTCATGCAATCTACACTCTGGATAGTTCAAAGGCCAAACCATTTCCTCCACCCCAATTCCTTTCTGCCAACATAGTTTATTTCTTTCAGCTGCAAGGAATCCAATGGAATACACTGCCCTTCTTGGCCTTATGCTGAGCCCCTTATGGTCTTTTCTCTGCTAAGGAAAAAAAAATCCATGGAAACAACATATCCCCCCACTTCCTGGTTCTTAAACCGTTTCCAGCTGAAGAAAATACTCTGGGATTTATCTACTGAGTTTCCCTTCAAATGTCTGAATGGTATGCATCTCTTTCTCTCTCATTCTATTCAACAGGGAGTTCCCAAATTGCTGTCACACACGGAGATACTACTATGAACTTTAGTAAAGTCCCTACTGTAACGGAGGTGGTTGTCTTGTTTGAAGCAGGATCGCGGGGAGATATCCTCGTGATGCTCAGAGTGAGATGTGTTTTCATATCCGACTATGCTGAGTCAGGGTCCACTTTTTAGAAGGGGAATATTAATAAAGATATTTTAATACAGGCTTAAGCAGAAGGGTTAAGAGAAAGAGAGGGACTCAGACGTAGAACACACCCAAGACAGCAGGGTATGGGTCTCTCAAAATTCAGAAAGTAAGATGCACATGAAAAATAATGTAGTTAGTTAAAAATAGAAACCATGAACCTCTTCCTTCAGAACACAGTACACTGATATTAATAGTAACATCATTCGTACTGGACTTAGAACTGGAGACACCGTGTGTGTGTGTGTGTGTGTGTGTGCGCGCGCACAGGCGTGTATGCAGGAATGCTCTGGAGACCCCCCTGACCCCAGAGGTTACAGAAGCACACCACCATGCCTAGCTTTGCCATGGGTGCTAGGGACTGGAGCTCAGCTTCTCAGGCTTGCACGGCACTTTAACCACTGAGGCATCACCCTGGCTTCCCAACCACAGTGCTGAAGCGAGTGAGGCACAAGCCCCGTAAGCAAGCTTCATTCCGAGAGCAGCGACAGGACATACCCTGCTGATGTAAAAGACTAGGCCCCCAAGAAGCAGGCAGACCTCCCCATGGAGCCAGGAATGAGAGGCCAGGGAGATAGCTGAATGCTTTTGTGTAGTTTTGCTTTGGGGTTGTAGGGTCTCGGATTACATCTCCACTTTGATTCTACAACTCATATGTATTTCTGTATGTAATTCTATATGTAAGAAATTACTGGGAAGAGGTGTGTGTGTGTGTGTGTGTGTGTGTGTGTGTGTGTGAGAGAGAGAGAGAGAGAGAGAGAGAGGATTCAAGCATTTGAGGATTGAGATGACACCACACATGAAGCAGTGAAGTACACACTGGGTGTGTGTTTGTAATACAAGTCACATTAATGAAGATGAATGCCATTTCGAGCTCACCCCAGCAGAATTCCCTCATGTGACAGGGCAAAGTCTAATCCTACACCCCATAAAACCCTGGATACCCTGTACTGTACTAAGCTTGCTTGTGAATTTCACAAGCGCTGGGGATGTATTTAGGTTGGATCAAATTCAAAAAAGGGCAACCAGATTGGTTAAACGACTTAAGGGCTTATTGAAAGGATCAAGAGGCAGAGGCAGGTCCTCAGGAGGGCAGCTGTGGGAGAGGAGTCTAACATGATAGGCAAACGCCCCTCTCCCAGCTTTCCCGAGAATAGTGCTTAGGACACATCCAAATCCAGATCTAGTCAGTGCAGGCAAGGTAAGGCCTGGATTCAAGATAAGGCATCTCTATTACTGTGATACGTACAGACACAGAAGCACACCTAAAGGCATGAGCATAGGGAATCCCTCCCCCACCATTTAGCTCTCCAGCCTCTGTATCTGGCATCTGGACAAACAAGTGTGTGATCAATCCTCTCACTTGCAAGCTGGGTGATGCCCGACCCTAGGCTGACTCTGCATCTCCACCTCCATCCAGGAGATAGAGATTAAAACTTGTGGTTCTAGATACAACTGGACCCAGGCTGGCTGCTACCAGTTCTCTCGGCTCCTCTAATTATTAGCTGTGTGTCTTTGAGCATGTGACTCTTTCTGTGACTTGGTTTCTCATCTTTGAGTAGGATTAGTAAGTAGAAGGCTGCTGTGAGAATTCCACAGGTCACACGTGTCGAAGGGTGAAGCAGTGTTTGCCACGTGCAGATACCGTGACACACTTGTCATGTTCTCAGGTATGGCTTCTTTAGGCAAAGCTGTCTCTGAGAGATCCTGAGCAAAGCTATCTTCTTTTCTAGCAGATGTCACATTAAGAGTTACCTAACTGGCTGTGATTTGAACCAGCTGCTTGGTTCAGCCTCAAACCACTTCTTCAGCTGAGTAATGGCAAAGTAATCATAGCTATGCAATAGGGTTAGTGTGTGGACTGAAAGGAACACGTAGGCTTGCCTGTAAGAACCTGGCGTGTTTGTTTTCTCTCCGCCCCCTTCTTTCTTCTTCCTAAGGTTTTAAAGGTATAGGCTCTTTTACCTTAGGCTATCAGTAATACAAACCATACTTAAGACTGTCTCAGTTTTCAATTTTTATCAGTCGCATGTTATGCATGGGTTTCTGACTCAGCCCTTTATGAGACTGGATCTGTTGGTGTGTGTTAAGTGCTACTGTCCAGAGCATACGGTGGCACAGGGTACACACACTGGACAAATGCAGCTGTAGTGTTGCTGGCCGGTCTCTCAGGCCCTGCCTCAGTGGCTCCACATCTACAAGCTGCTTCGTCAACCTCAACTCTGTCTCCCGTGTCTAGAAAACCTGAGCTCTTCAGCAGAGCTTACCCCAGTAGAAATCCTCACAAATATTCCGTGTTAAAAACTGAAATCTCAAATAAGACTAGAACATGACCCCCGACTAAAAACTGGCTAAGTTAACTTCTTGGAGTAATTATTTCAACTTATGCAATATAAGTTGAATCTATGGAATAAAATGCAATGCTTTTATACATACAGGCAAGGACAGGAATTTGCTGAATTCTTTTCCTGTTACTTTTCTACGGTTTGGGTTTTCATGGTGAGTGGGTGGTTTAGTGGTTATTATTTTGCTGACCTAAAGCAAAAGTCCATGCTTAATAGCCAGAAAATATAACCGAGGTGCAAGGGAGCTATAAATTGATTCTCGAGAGGTAGTGAATTCAATGGAATTCCCTATGAGGTATGAAATCTCAAGAGCTTTAGGTTTCGTTGGGTTAAAGTACAGAACTAAACCTTTTCAGCAGGTCGGTTTTCTCCTATGGTGAGAACAGACTATGAGAAAAGACTGTTCAACAGTATTGATCAAGGTCAGGACGACACACATTGAGAGACAAATGAAGAGGGGCAGGGACCCGGACCAGCTCAGGGTCAAGTTTCTTTTTTTTTCTTTCTTTCTTTTTTCTTTTTTTTTTTTTTGAGAAAGGGTTTCTCTGTGTAGTTCTGGCTGTCCTGGAACTCACTCTGTAGACCAGGCTGGCCTCAGACTCAGAAATCTGCCTGCCTCTGCCTCCCAAGTGCTGGGATTAAAGGTGTGTGCCACCACCACCCGGCAGGGCCAAGTTTCTAATGAATCCTTATTCCCTATGACTCCTCAAGGGGGATAAGGGATCCTTTCCAGGAAGATTTAACCAGAGGTTTGAGGCTTTAAAATGTTCAGAACACCATTCTCAATTGCAGAAGTGACCACAGCCTGAGTGGACAGCTCAGCAGATAAAGGCAGATGTGAGAGACACACCTGGATACGCCTCACATAAAGGAGTGAGGACATTCCCTGTGCTCCCCACCCACCCCAGGAGCTGAGTAGACTCAAGGTAAAAAGCAAGGCCTCAAAAATTTGTTTGACATTACTTACCTCTTTTATACTTAAAAATATCCAATTACTATGACTTTTTACAGACTCTCTGAATATAAAACCAAAAATACAACAGTGTTTTTTTACCAAAGTGATTTAACAGAGAACTTTTTCAAATAAGGGTTAACTCTAACATATATGCACATGTGTGTGCATAACTACTGCCATTTGTACAGTTTGATAAACAATCCATTTTAAGGCTTATACGATCAGAAATTGTACAGGATTTTATATTCAATTAAAAAAAATCAAGTTAAGCTTTCAGATGTCAGGTGAAAAAAATTACCACCAAAATGAAATTTGTGTCTGTAGTCACAAATATAACTCTAAACACACAGCATAAACAACATTGAGTTTTATCTTTATTCTATATTTTATTACAAAACAGCCGACTGTATTATAAATGGCTATAAGCAATAGCAAGGTGAGAAAGACATGTTTCTTCACACTAAAATACAGAGCCCACAACAGA